TTAAGAACCCAGTTCTTAGCTTCAGAGTAGCAGAGAAACCTGCAACCAACCTGGCTGGTAGTAATCGTAGACTTTGATGCTGGCTGGTTTCAGGTTCTTCATCTCAATCATTTGTTCCAGTTGCAGAATGAAAGTCTGAGATTCATCACTGAGCTTGTGCAGGGGGATATAAATTAGCAAGGTAAATTACATGTGCATCTTCATCTTTCCTGCGCTAAATCTTTCTAATCCATTATAAATTCTAAATTTTAGAAATTGATATATGTTAGCAATAGAAAATGCTAATCAAATAACAATTAATTTAGGCAAGGGCCCTCTACATACATTTTTAACAGTGTTCTTGCCCATTGCCATCCCAGCCTCAGGCTTCCCACACAGCTCTGGTCCTCTGGCCTCTTCTTCTCACCATGCCCAACCTAATGCTCTTATTCCCATTTACCTTTTCCAGATAAATGTAGACCACATCAGCTTTTACTTCTATTTTTTTAATGATGGTTTTGCGCTGCAGCTGGAACAGAAAACAATAACATAAAGAAATTTGTAAGCTCTTTCCTTAGGGCTTCCTGTTGGATTGAAGGGGAAGTGCACCTTTCTTGTGCACAAAGGCTTTAGTGGTCATAACTTTGGTAGTTCCTCCTCAAATATCCCTCATGAACCTCATCTCAAGGATGAAATATGCTGTCCCTGCTCTGTTTTAGAAGAGTGCCTCAGTCTGGGAACAGAAGGCCGTATGGATAAAATACAGAGTGATATACTGGTCAGCAGACAGGTATAGGCACCAGTAAAAACTGTCATTATCATATAGCATTGTCTGACAGACTGCTATTAAAGACCTGGCTGGAGGTTGTGCAAATAATTCAATTTTCATTTTCAGCACTGAATTGAAAAAAAAAATCTTGGCTTGAATTAAAATTATTCATCTCTTAGAATTGCTAAAAACAAATCCTGGAGTTTAGCACACCAAAATGCACATCTTAACTGTCCCAAGGCATAACAGTGAGACAGTGGGAAAACCCAAACCAACCCTCAACCCCCATAGTCTACCCTGGTGGGCCCTGCAGAGAAATGAGACTTTGGTTCAATGTCAGCAATAAAAGGGTTCATGTTAATAGCCCTGCCTCACACCCTGAAATGGGCAGTTCCCAACAGCAGTAAGCGGTGTGACCTATCTATTACAGTTCCTCCTTTTCTGATTCAAGGTTTCTTACCAGCATCCTTGATCCTGATGTCAGGATGAAGCCAGACAGCAGGGAGACTTCCACAATCACCATGTTAGAAGTGACTCTGCTCCCAACATAGCTGAAGAAGATCAAAATGTCAGAGGGTCCTTTCCAGTTTCCACTTCCCACCACCATCATATGTCGTGTGCAGAACCCTGAGCCATGTAGCCCAACCAGGACCAGGGCTAAGACAGGACTGTTCACTCTCACAGGAGGCAGCCAGAATCTTTCTTCACCAACCCTTCCACCTGCCAAATTTATCCTCCAGCCTGTCTACTCCAAGCGCATGGTCCCTTCACTGCAGCCTTTAGGTTTTCCCAAGTGTCTTGCCCTGTTAGAGCTGTGTGCTTGCTGGAGAAGTGTATGATCCTTGGAGTCACCTGACAAGGATACGGACGGTGAGGACACGCATATTGGCCTGGCTACAGTTGGTCAGCTGTGTGTTGATACGCAGACTGAAGGTTGTGGTTGTCCTTGGGGGAGGCTCATGGTACCTCAGCACTGTCTGCAGGGTGAGCATCAAAAGTGGAAACAACAGGCTGTATATGAGATATGAGAAGAGGAGTAATCCTCTCTCATCCCATCACCTTACCTGAGCAAAGACACAACTGCTGCCATGGGCCTGCACGAAGAAATCCCCCGGTATTTCTGTCAGTTCTGCCTGCTGCAACAGTAGCCGTTTCTGGCGGGTGACTTGGAATGTCTTCCCAAGGCCCCTTTTGGACTTCACCCTCACAAGTGCTTGGCCTGATGTGCTGAATGTTCTTGCTGCATACTTGGCCAAGGCTTGCAAGGCAACAACTGTGTCCTAGAGATTAGAGAGACAGTCACCTCTCTGTGAGGATCAGCTATGTGAAGCCAAATCTAAAAGGGAATTCTCTTAAGAGAATTCATTCTGCCAACTTCAGGTGCAAGAGGATATAAATACAGCTGGAGTTATTTGTTACCTGTGTGGAAGCAAAGCCCCCGTAGGCATTTTGCTGCTGAATCAGCCATGCCACAATACTGCTTGCAATTGTCATGTCACCTGCATGCACTCGTGGTTTTGAGAGGTAGGCCAGGAGCACATAGGCTGTTAATTCTATGTCCACTGACTGAGTCCTAGGCCAGAAGTCTGTGGAAGATGGGGAGCTTGGTTTGGGACTCCAATGAATTTGTCCTCCTGGGGGAAAAAAAAAAAAAAGAGCATGCAGACCATGTGGAGAAAATGAAAATTTGAATTCTAGAAATAAGAAAGAAGAAATACAAGGTTTTCATGGTTCCTTCAAGTTATATCCTTGACTCAGGCCAGGACTGCTTTCTTCAGTTTGTTCTCCAGGGCTTCACCCAGTCCTAGCTCACAGGTTTCTAAATCCTCCCTCAGGAGGATCCTGAAATCTTCCAAGATGAGGAAAATTACTTGTAAGTCACTTTTACAGCATGCTCAATAACATACTGTATCTGCAATCACACAATGCAGTTACTCCACAAATAAAAGGCATCAAATGCAATATTTTCCTCTCAAGCATTTTGCATAGGTTAACATATTCCAGGTTTGGTCATCTTAGGTGCAGTTGGGATATCTTGCTTGGATACATTACTCCAGATCCCAGCTGGTGAAGGAGAGGCCCTACTCAAACAAGCAGTCAGGACCTGATTTGATGGCCTGCTCCTCCAACTTGTACAGCAACTCCTGGGTTGTCTCATAGTCTCCAGACAAGGCAAAGGCATAGGCCAGGACAGCTTCTGTGTAGATGTTGGTGATGTTGTGAACTGCTTTCTGGAGACAGCTGAAGGTATTCTGCAACAGTTTGCCCTGCATCGGAAGACACATATTCCAAGCTCATGCAGCAGCAAAGTGTGGTGCAGGCTCTCTAATTTCATGGGGCTTAATCCAGGGAACCAGACTACATCTTGTTGATGTAGCTCCCACTAAACCCACTAAACTAAACTCTTTTCCTTGATAAAACAAGGAGTGCAGCATGGTGAAAAAAACCCACAACTGTTCCTTAACCAGTCTCCATCATAACACTGTTGTATCATTTTGAGGAGTTAAGTCACAGTTTGGCTAAACATTTACTCTCTCACAGAAATGACCTACCTAGACCTGAGGAATGCCACCACTACGAGCTTCTTCCCTGTAAAGTGTCCAAGTGCAGAAAAGGAGAACAGGAGATAAGGAAGTGTGCTCACCTTAAGTGGCTGATCCAATTCCAGCAGTGCTGCAGCAACGTATGCTGCTAAGGAAATTTCATCATTCTCACCACTCTGTGAAGAGAATCAGTCACCAGAGCTGTGGAATTCCAGCCTAATACAGACAAACCAGAGCATCTGGAGACTCTTAGAAGGAGGTCTCTAAGGCTGTTAGGTGCACTCTTCCAGACCAACCTGGGATCTAAAGCACATTTTACTATCTAAGTGGTGTTTCAAGCACTCTTAAGTGGCTCCTTGTAACAACTGCTCCCCCAGCCTCCCCACCCTGCCCTGTTTTCTGTAGGTTTGGTTACATGGATTGCAGGACTTTCCAGGATCCTTTGTTTTCCCCATAATCCTTTTTTTGCCATAACATCCAGCCTGCCAATTCCCAGGTCTGCTACCTGGCTTGACTCTCATTTACCTTCAGAGAGGAATGAAAAAACCTCCCTTTGGTGGCAAAGCAGCCACTGGGAAGCTGGTTTTGCTCTAGCCAATGCAAGGCATCCTGGACATTCTTGTCATCTATGTAGACGTATTTCCTGGCTTGGCCAAAACTCTTGACCACAAAAGCTGTCAGCCTAGGAAGAAGAGGAGTTGTGAGAGAAAGAGAAACATGCAAGGACAAAGTCAAATGCTTCTCCCATGCTTGTTCCTGAAGTTAATATTGGCCTAGGGATGCTAAGTGGGGTGCTCAGAAAGAGTAAATTTCAGACAGAAAGGCAATCTAAATGTGGAAATAGACCCTGGGAGCCATGTGGCTCTTCTCTGTCAGTCATGCTCCACTAGTACTTCATGCACTAGTACTTCATCCAATCATTTCATCATCTTTCTCAAATACGTACAGACAATTTTAAGTTAATTCAGGATTTCCAATTGTCTTCCTTCCTTTCTTTTCTTTATTACTCCCAGCACAGATATCACAGAGCCAAGCCAGCTAATACAAATATTTCAGACTCTCCCAAACAACTCCCTCCCTTGGTAAATGAATTCTATTGTTCTTCCCTGATCTTTCCCCTGTCAATACAAACATCTCTTGGCTAACAGAATACCAATAGCTGAATCCAGTGTTCTGCGTGGGGCAGCAACATGGCCAGAGAAATAAAAAGACCTCTCATCTCTATGAAATCACATCTATATATTCCACTTTCCCAGATTCTGTGCTAACCTGCCTCACTCATAGTCTAAGTGGCTCTTCCTTAATCTCTCCCCATGACAGAGTTCCTGAGGGGCTCCGTTCAAAAGAAAGAACACATATCCTACGAGCTATTCCCAGACACTTCAGCAGGTCTGGCCCAGACAGAATGAATCAGAAGTAAAGGATGTCCCCAGTGCTTACCAAGTGTTCCCTTCCCTATCCTGATGCCCAAAAACGCTGTAAGATCCATCTCTGTGCCTATAAAGAAGCTGTGTCTGATACCCTGGGGAGATGGAAACAGTGATTAATGTAGCACAGTAAAATGAAGGGGGCCATTACTGTGAGAGAGACTGTAAGGGTAGATATTATTAGTAGGAAAGGCAGAGGAGCAAGGTAGGTCTGTTGTACTTGCCATTGTGCAGGAAACCCACTGCCCTCTCCCTGATCTCTGGGGTCAGCTGCCTTGTCTTCTCCAGGTACTGCAGCACATAGACAATGGGGGAAAACAGCACCATGTTCTGCTCTCCACAGCCATAGGGCATTTGCACCAGGTGGTCTAGGTTCTGCAATGCTATCCCCATCAGGTCACCTATGCAAGGGTGTAAGAAACATAGCAAGTCTTAGCATGATTTAAATTGCTCCTCAGCTACACACTGGACATTAGTGCTTTATTTCTGCATACAAAGAATATAATGGAAAGCAGAAGAAAGGAGAAAACAACAAAGGGCAAGAACAGACTGTTCTCCCTCTTTCCGGCTTAGGGGAAGTGACACAGGATGGTCATAGTATGGAGTTCCTGGGGAAATTTCCTTTATTAGCATTTGTCTTCCAAATGGTTCCTACCATAACAAGTAATATTTGTAAATGACTCTGAGCCGAGGCTGCAGTTCAGCTGAACGTAGAAGCACTTAGGAGAAGTTTGAGCATGAAATGCTGTGAAGCTTGTTCAGCATGGCCATTTGTCAAGCATCGAAATGTCTGTAAGACAATGGTGGTGCTAATCATGTGGTGTGAAGCTGGCTTCACCCAGCCAGAAAAGCCTTGTCATCTCATCCCTCCTTTGGGCCCTGTTACACAACATCCATGGATATTTATGCCAGGCCTAGCTTCATATCATTTCTGGCCTGGGGACAAATGGACACAGTACAAACAAGTGGATTGCATGGTAAGTATGTGTGTTCCCAGCAGCTTCTCCAAAGAATCCCTTTGCAACTTAGTAATGCTGAGGAGGATTTATTCTCTCCGAGAGTTTCTATTATAGCAGTGAATTTTACAGACAGAGAGATAGTTATGATCTTTGTTGATTGCATGCACACAGAACTAGCCAACTCCTGAAGTCCCAGTTAAACCTTGGCTTAGAATCTCTATTCCAAAGTCCTAGGCAGAAATCGAGGATTCATCTTCCCTTGCAGATTTCTTTCCCATTAAAGCCTAATTTCTAATCCAAAATTCCGCTGTTGGCAAAACTTGCCTGAGACAGAAACTGGTATCTTCTTTTTTGACCAGCAGCATGGCAAATAGTTCCTGACATCATCACCAAGTCAAGACATCTTCATCTTTAACAGAAGTTAGTGAGTCCACAACAGAAATTACTTACCTAAGATGGAAATGGAAGCCTTTGCAGATCCCTTTACTACATTAGCAGGGAGGTGAAGGGACACAGGGTCTTCAGCTATGTTTCCTGATAACCATAGAAGAGAGGAGTTGGATGAAAAAACAAGCCAAATACATCTAACCTGAGGGATAATGCTAATGCAGGCAAATAGGATTCTGTCTACATCCTGCTTCCTTACACTCAGTTCAGGCCACCCCCTAAAGTTTGCCCCTGGCATCGTATCAAATTCCATTGCTTGAGAACTTTTCAAATTAGAAATGACATGAGAGATAGTGGCCAGACTGAGGGCTCACCAAACCACTAGGTCATATTCGATCTTCACTCTGTAGGGGGACCTCCTAGAGAGAACTGCAACATTGCAGGACAGGGTGATATGGTAGGAGGTGCTCTTCTTGGTGACTGCCAAGGCCCAGGGTAGTACCAGGGATTGCAGTATGGAAAGGAGACTACAGAGCAGGAGATCTCAACCTATACTCAGTGGCAAATTCAATAGAACATCAAGTAGAGAAGTAATATTTTTTCTCCTTTTGGTATGAGATTTTCTTTGTGAAAGCACATTTGAAAGGCATTCACTCATGAGTCCTTCCCACCCTTTCTCCTCCATTCATCCCTGCTCTCGTGTCTTGTGATTTCAGACTGCAGCACCCATCCAAGCCGCCTACAAACCTCCTCTTGGGCACAGCAGGGAGCTGTAGGTTTTCTCCACTAGCACGCCTCCTGGCTGCATAGGAACATGAACATGGGACAGGAGAAACAAGATTACACACACATTTTCCAAGAAGAAGCAAAATTTCAGAGCAGTTTCAGGTCTAAATTCACTGGTTACTGCCCAAGCTATCAGAGATTCCATCCTTATCGCCTTTGGAGGGACTACACTGAAGCTGTCTTCTGCACTATTCAAGAAAAGCAAGTCCAAGGAAGGTGGCCTTCCTGTTGGTTTACACATGCTCATGCACACAGTTGATTGGGCAAGGAAAAGTAAAGGGAGTGGTGCAAATATGACATATAAGTGCAGCTCAAGAAACAGTACTGCAAGAAGGGAAGAGGCTTGGCTAGATCCTGGAGAGAACACAGCAAACTGAGTCAAAACCTTGATCACAGAATTATCGAGGTTGGATGGGACCTTTGGAGATCATCTAGTCCATCCAATTTCTCCTCACAAGCAAGATCACCTATAGCACACTGTGCGAGATCGTCTCCAGGTAGGCTTTGAATATCTCCAAAGAAGGAATCTCTACGCAACCTGTTTCAGTGCTCTGTCACTCTCAGAGTCAAGGTTCTTCTTCAAATTCAGACCAAACTTCCTGTGTTTCAGTTTGTAGCCATTGCCTCTTGTCCTATCATTGGTCACCACAGATAACAGTCTGGCCTCATCCTCTTGACACCCTCCCTTAATATTTGTATACACTAAGATCCCCTCCCAGCCTTCTCTAGGCTAAACAGGCCCAGTTCACTTAGTCTTTCCTCATATGATAGGTGCTCCACCCCCTTAATCATCTAACACCAGACTCTCTCCAATAGAGCCTAGTCCCTCTTATACTAGGGAGCCTAATGATATGCTAAAAAAGTGGCCAAAAAGTGAAGAGAGAAAAGCAACTGGCTCAGCTCAGCCTCTCTTCGTGGAGGATTAGGGATCACATGGCCATTCATATTCAGGGGGAGAAGCGAGTTTGCTCTCATACTGACCTGGACCAGCAAACGTTTGACCACAGTGTGCTTTCGTCTCATGGTTGATGGGAAAGGCTTCTTGTCGCCACAGCGTGAGGTGGCATCAAGTACCTCAATCCTGACTGTGACATTCAGAGTTCCTGACAAATAAATTAACACAGCTTGTTTCTTATGCCTCTGACCAAATGGAGTACATCTTCTTTAGCTGACAGTGATCTGATATGCTTCAGCAAGGTCTTCATAGCCTCAGTGGTTTGACAGGTGAACCAGCCAGTGCTGATGGCTTATCCAGACACCCTAGCATGAGGAAATTTAGTAATGCTTCAGCATTACCAGTGACTCTGGTTACATGTGATGGTAACAACAGAAGGGGCAGCATTCCCTTGGCCCCTGATGTACCTTTCCCATCTCACTTGCTGCACGGCATCAGACATACACACTCGCATGGTCCTTTCCTAACTAGGTCTCACAGCTCCCTCCCTCCCAGGATTTAATTCCTGCCCTCTCTGATAAGCCTGTCCAAGGTGGGAGAAAGAAAGCAATTCTGGTGGCCCAGGGTCTGGAACCACTATCAGCATACTGGGATATACAGAGAAGACAAGGTCCTGTAAGTTTCAGTGGACCTTTCACTCCCTCTCTCACTTCAGTTTTAGGACTTTCCATGACCACATCCATTTTTGCTGCCATACCAAGCTGGATTGCTGTCACATTCCACATGAAGATCTTGGACTCCTCCACACAAATGCATTCTCTGTCTCTGCAGGTTCTGCACTGCTCCACCTGGAAGTCGAGGGATTTAGCAAGGCCCACATGGATCTGAGGGAGTGACAGATGCAGGTGAGGAAATGGGTAATCCAGGAGGGCGAACTTGCCACATGTGTTTGCAAAATTGGAGGGCATACGAGGTCTGTACCATACACTGTTTCCTGTATATCACCATTACACACCTGTATGCACTGCTGCAGATAGTTGAACACAGTAGCCTTTAGCGTGAAGGTCTCTCCCTGGATCACAGAATATGGCAATGTCACATCCACAAAGAAGGGCTGGACAGTCCTGAGGCTTGTGACTGGGGCAAGGCCAAAGCCTCTCCCAGCCAAACAGAACATCCTGGCTTTCCACTCAGCAACAGTATCAGGCACTGTGACTAGGACACCCCTGCTGCCATTGGAGCTGAGAGAAAGAAAGTACCAGCATGAAGCAATTCAGTCCACCTCACTGCAATAGGAAGGGCTCATGGCTCCAGGTATGGGGAGGTAGGTAGGTCCTTAGATTAGGATCAACCTCTGGTCTATCATCAATGGCCTGTCTCCATTAATTAGGTGTGGAGGAGGGAAGAACAGCTACTGTATCAGACTTGCCTTCCAATGAGTCAGAGCAAGGCAGCTCTTAACAATCTGTTCCCTAAAGCCATATATCCTCCTTAAATGCTTTCAGTTGCAGTGTTTCCATGAGCAAGACACTGCCCCGGGGCTCCAGCTCTACACACAGTCAACAAAAGTACGTCCTGGAAATCAGCAGGACATTTTCCCAGAGTTTCATTGGTACCAATCCAAGCACTGTGGCAACAGAGGCTACGTTAGCTGATATTCTTGACAATTTGGGAAGCTAGTAGAGGGTATTCCAGTGTGATAAAAGAGGGTATTTGATGGCTTGATGCTGAACCAAAGGAGCATTGCTCTCTTCTAAGCGTGTGGAAACTTGAGCCCCACTCCTCAGTGTTTACCAGTCCTTTATTCTGATCCATGATAAATGTGGGGAAGAATCTGCACTTAAATACAGAGTTCTCTTTACACCTATGGGTGACTTTCATTCTAATACTACTATTTACTATTACTATTCTAATACATTCATTCTAGTCTTTCTGTACACCTTACAGTCTGGCATCACTCACCCAATAGAAAACAGACTCCAGATCCAAGTTTCAGGGAAATACGCTTGAAGTCTACCTGGGGTTGTGGATTGAGGTTGTTCCATAGAGTCTCTTTGCTCTTCTGTAGAAGGCCCCCCTGAAAGAAAGAGTAAAGATTCTCATGAGGGTAGGACAGATGAAACCTGTGAATAATAGATAGCCTAGTAACAGGGCAGGTGGAAGAGCAAACAATGATTAGAGACCTGGGAAGAGTCTGATATGGGAATACACAAATGATTGGGCTGAGTTCATGGAAGAAGGGAAATAGGAAAGAAACAAAGAGCTGTAGTAGGAGAACAAGCTTGCAGTGAACTGGCCATTGATAGGTGTCCAAAACCTGGCTAGGCAAAGCCCCCACTGATCTGATCCAGGGTTAGCACTAGAAAGAGCAGAGACCTCCAGAGGACCCTTATAACCAACATTTCTGTGATTTTGGAAATAATAATACTTCCAATTGTTTTTTAGGAAAAAAAAAAATCTCTCTGTGAACAACAGTGACTTAAAAAACAGTAGTCACATGAGCCATTTTGGTATAATCATCTGACTGAGATGCAAGTAAGGTACTGAGACACAAAGAAAGAAAGGGGCATGGGAAGAACCAGAAGTCAGGCCTCAGCCCAGCCTGTGTAATAATCACTAAGAAACATTCCCCTCAAGATCTTGGCCAATGCTTGGGTTTGTCTGGGTCAGGAAAGGTAAAACCATCCTTTAACATGAGGGACCATCTAAGTAGTGACATGCTGCACAGTCTTTTTATGGGGACTCAGTCATTTGTGTGGAGGGCTGCTGGACCTAGCAGCTATGTTTTGGCAGCAGCATTCATTATTGTTGAGAGTGCCAACAACCACCACTGACAAAGCACAGAGATCAGAGTAACCAAGTAACCTCAGGTTCCAGAAGCTGGACAGACTGAAAGTGTGGCGTACCCATGGTGGGCTTTCTATCTGCTCGGTGAAAGCACTTAGTTGGTTTCTTGATTTCAAGGTTTGAGAAGATTTTCAGACCCATGTTCTGTTAGAAAAAGAAGGAGGGAAGAAGAAATGCAGTTGTGAGTGAGGAAGAGTGGCCACTGCTCTTCAAAATGCCTTTGGAGATGACTACTGTTAGCATATCCAGGTGCCTTGGCAATCCAGAACAACATTGGCCCCAAACAGACACAGCGTTCAGGGAGGCATAGCACACCCTCTCTGATCCTCTCTTTCTTAGGAAGGCACCAAACTACTTCCTCTCTTCTGGGGGACTGATGAATATCCTTGCTCTTCTCAAGCAAGGGCACAGAAGACAGGTGTCAGTGCCCTTTCCTCATCCATCTCTCATGCAGAATGCAGGGAAGAGGTAAATGAAATCTGTCCTTTGGAGTCATACAAAGGAGCAATGGAAAGCACATCCCTCCATCCTGCTACTGAGAATGGGGTATGGGTCATATACAAGGTGTGGTCCTTGTGCTCCTGGCATGGAGAGTGCAGGCAGATAAGAATCCTGATTTACTCCCACAGCAATGCACTATGTGCTCTCTCCAGCCCCACCAGATAGCAGAGCCCCTTGGATGTGTCTCCACTGCAAAATAATAGAGGACTAAGTCAGATTCTCAAGCCTAATGCTAAATGGTATTGACAGGCTTGTGTCTGCATAGTTTAAAGCTTGCCCTTTCTAAAGGAGATCTGTCCTCAAGACATGTACCTGGAAGAGTCCAATACAGCATGCCAGAGAGCATGCTAACAACTAATTGATACAATCAGTGGCTTATTGCTTCAATTACTTCCTGCATCTTTTTTTTTTTTCTTTAGCAGTGTAAACACACACATCAGGAATAAGTGCTTGGGACTTCATTCCCTGACCTAAAATGTTGGGTTCTGCTGGTCCAGAATTTCATTGTCTTGCTTTCTGCTTCACTGGAGTGGTGAATGTCCACACATATTCTCATACCCGTAATGGGATTATACATCTCTTGAGACAGCACAGCTAGGTAAGGACAAAGAGCAGGGATTGCTTGGGGAAGGCAATGTTTTCTCACACTGTTTAGGGAGAAAAATGTCTCAAGTGTTCATAATTTCCAGAGCTCTGGGAAAAAGTCAGAGATAATTACCCAGAAAAGATTAAAAATGTCAGGCTGAATGGAAAGCTGTGATTTTCCTTGCAGGAGAGGTGACATGGATTGAGACCGAATGCAGTGATTTGAATACTCTTCTACTTGGGTAGGATATCCATGCCGGTAGATATCAGGGAACAAACCATATATCTAGGGAAACTCACAGACAAGGAAGAATTAGGCCGGTGAACATATACCTCCAGATGCTTCACTTGATCACTTCCCCACAGGTATATACATATTTCCATCTATTCCTCTAGGCAGTCTCCCCTTCTACACCCACCCATACACCCACAAATCCACCCCTCATCCATTAGCCTCAAAATCCCCTTGCCATAGCCACTGCTCCTCTCTCCAGCTCATAACATCAGTCCTGTTTTTTTTTGGGGGGGGGTTTCTTTTTTTTGCCTGGTTGCAGAAACACTCACCATTTGGCTTGTCAACTCTCTCTCTGGCCTTGTGAGAAACTTTCTTTCATTCACTGCCTGTACTGCACAGATGGAGCCAGGAGCTGCCTGCAGTTGGAGTTGCACTGTTGATCCAGGGTGGATTTCTTTAGCTGTGAAACTCACCTTCACCTTAATCAACACATCAAGAAAGCAAATGAGAGAAATGGGGTGAAATGGCATGAGAGACATGCAGCACAGATGTGGCAAAGCAGAAAGAGGGAGACTAGGGTTAATTCTTCCCTGTTCAACCATTTCTAGAAATAGAAGACACTGCTGAATGAAAATTCTTCCTATTCCTGGGTACTATGCTGTAGACAACCTCATCTCTTCTCTCCACTCATTTCTTTAAATTATTTGAGACTCTCCTTTCCACAGGCCTGCTGACTCCTCCTTGGCAGCTCTTCCCCAGCCACAGGTGTGAGTCTTACCTGGTTTTCAAAGCACAAATCAACATCAAATTGGATGCTGTCAGCTGTCACCCCTCCATTGGGGAAGATGGCATACACCACTAAGGAAGGTGATGGGGTGAAGTCAGCAGTGAAGGTCAGAGGGATGGAGAATGAACCTTTCAACACTGAGGAGGGAAAGACAAAGTGTTTTCATCACTGCCTCACTAAGATTTCCGTCTGGCCTTCTTTTTTTTTTTTCTGTTTTATAATCCCATACTATCAAATAAACACCTTCTATTGCTGTGTTTGCTCTTCCCTCCACTCTTTAAGCCCACATGCTCCATCACTTCATAATTCTTCCCCAGTCTCGCTTTCTTTATTGTTTCCCTCACTCCATCTTTCCACCCTCCCAACAGACACAATTGCGCCCCTGATCTCTTTCCATCCTATTCTCTAACTGCCCAGGGTCTATAACTTGAGAGAATTCAAGAGAAACTCAAGTAACTTTCATTCAATTGTTTTCTTTTAGTCATCCACAAAAACAGGTCACTGCAGACTTACTGTTCAGCTTCCCAATCTGGACACTCCTTTGTCCCCTGACAACAATTCCAGCCTTGCCAGTAACCTGAGGAAGGAGGAACACTGGATGAGCAAGCTGTTACTGTCACCAGAGTGCAGTAAGGATCACCCTATGAGCAAGTTGCAATCTTAAGCAACCAAATAAATAAACTATGGATCCAATCTAACTCCACACATAGAGTCTGGCTGACTTGCAGACTTTACAGTTTGGGAGAAGATGTAATACATCTGGTTCTGATGCGTCCAGTCAGGACAACAGGTAGGTAACAA